CCGTCATGCCTCGCGACTAACTCAAGTGCGTCTCCCTTGGTAAAAATCGTCAAGCCCCCTCTAACCTTCCACCCTTCTAGACTCCCCTCTTCCGTCGCACCTATGCCACCGAACCCGATCTCAAATCCGCCCTCAAAGCCGTCATCCCCGCCAAGCGCGATCTCCTCAAACAAGTGAAAGCGCGCAGCGACCAGGTCATCGGCGAGGTGACCGTGGGTAACGTCATCGGCGGGCAGCGGGGTCTGAAGGCGCTCCTGTGGGAGGGGTCGGTGCTGGACCCGAACGAAGGAATCCGGTTCCACGGCAAGACGATCAAGGACTGCCAGCGGGAGCTGCCCAAGGGGCCGGTGGGCACGGAGATGCTCCCGGAGGCGATGTTCTGGCTGCTGCTGACGGGCCAGGTGCCGTCGACCGCCCAAGTGCGGGCCTTCTCGCGCCAGCTCGCCGAGCAGTCCCACCTGCCGCCGCACCTGCTCGACCTCATCAAGTCCTTCCCGCGGGAGATGCACCCGATGACCCAGCTGTCCATCGCCGTGGCCGCCCTCAACACCGAATCCCGCTTCGCCCGGGAGTACGCCCGCGGCCTGCCCAAGACCGAGTACTGGGAGCCGACCTTCGACGATGCGATCAGCCTGCTGGCCAAGATCCCCCGCGTCGCCGCGCTGGTCTTCCGCCCGGACGCCGTGGACCAGGTCGGCACGCAGCCGCTGGACGGCGCGCTCGACTGGTCGGCCAACTTCGCCGCCCTGTTGGGCAAAGGGGACCCGACCACGCACGGCGACTTCCACGATCTGCTGCGCCTGTACCTGGCGCTGCACGGCGACCACGAGGGCGGCAATGTGTCGGCGCACACGACGCACCTGGTGGGGAGTGCCCTCAGCGATCCGTTCCTCAGCTACAGCGCCGGGTTGTTGGGGCTGGCGGGCCCGCTGCACGGGCTGGCCGCCCAGGAGGTGCTGCGGTGGATCCTGGCGATGCAGACGGAGATCGGGTCGGGGGCGACGGACGAGGCGGTGCGGGAGTATCTGTGGACCACGCTGCGGTCGGGCCGCGTGGTGCCTGGATACGGACATGGGGTGCTGCGGCAGCCGGACCCGCGGTTCCAGGCGCTGATGGACTTCGCGGCGGCGCGGCCGGACGTGCAGTCCAACCCGGTGTTCAAGCTGGTGCAGCAGACGTCCGAGATTGCGCCGGGCGTGTTGACGGAACATGGCAAGGTGGGCTTCTTCTCTCCCTCTGAAAGACGGGAATCATACTGACAAATCATACAGACCAAGAACCCTCATCCGAACGTCGATGCTGCCTCGGGTGTGCTCTTCTATCACTACGGCTTCACGCAACCGCTGTACTACACCGTGACCTTCGGCGTGAGTCGGGCTCTCGGCCCGTTAGTGCAGCTGATCTGGGATCGTGCATTGGGCTTGCCCATCGAGCGCCCGAAGAGTATCAACCTGAAGGGATTGAGGGATTGAGTGCATGAGCAAGAACGACCACAGTCGGGATACTATTCTTCACTTCATGAGTTACATAGAGACCAATGCAGCCATTGTGACATTATCCTTGAACTGACAACGTAATTTCTTTCACCCGCAATGGGTGCAGGCTCGGGTCGGAAACCGGCCAGGAGGCTATTTAGAGTTTCCCTCTAGGATGGAGACTTTCTTGCACGATCCACCACGGAAGGGACGGAAATTTATTTGACCAAGTTGACATGATGCGAGAACATGTCATGGTGGCTCACGGATACCATCGGCTGGATCTAACTCTAGCTTTGTAGGTTGGATGTATACAATACTTAGTACTCAGATAATCAGGAAAGATCAGAGAGGGACTAGGTAGTTGACAGCCTTGACGAGGCCCATAAATCCCCAGCCAAATACTTTCCTCCGTCCTATCATCCATGCTAACACAACGCCAAAGATCTCACCAATCCTTCTTCCTCATATCACAACCCCCCCAAAACACGTCACCCAAACATAGTCCTCAACCGCCCCTCCTCCATAACCTCACTCCAATGCTTCGCCCTCCCGGCCCCCACCCCGGCCTCCCCCTCGCGATCCCCGACCTCCCAGATCCGCTGGATCAGCGCCTTCAGCACCCGGATCGGTTTCGACGGGAGACTGTACTCCAACACGCTGACCCGCTGCATCACCACCCGCCGCGCCTGACTCACCTGCAGCGCCGTCTGGTTGAGCCGCGGCGGCCCCGCCGCACTCTGCGCGTCCGGCGCCCTCAGCCCCGTCGCGATGGACAGGTACAACAGCGGCTGGATGACCCGCGACCCCGACTCCAATGGGATGCGTTTCACGAGGTCCAGGAGCTCGAGGGCTAGGGTCTGCAGGCTCCAGGTCGAGATGTCCGCTGCACCGAGCTCGCGGGCGCGGTCGTCGCGGAGATCGGGGAAGGTCTGGTACAGGTGCAGCAGGGCGGCGAGGCGGTAGCCCTCTGCGACGTCTACGAGATGGGAGAGCGGGGTTCGCGCGTCCCCGGTTTCGGTGAGGTTGCTGGGCTGCAGGGTCGTGGATGTGAGGGTCTGGCGCAGGGAGCGCGCGGCGTGGATGTCGCGGATGAGTTCTTGCAGGGTGTGCAGGGTGGCGTGGGTGGGGGAGCGGAGGCGCTTGCTGTGCCGGCGGCAGAGGAGGAGGGTGTGCGCGAAGAGGTCGAGGATGGGGCGCGAGACGCCCACCCAGGGGTGCGGGGAGGTGAATGTGTTTGTGTTTGTGGTGGTTGTTGATGTCGGAGAGGAATCGGGGATCGGGCCGATGAGAGTGGTGGTCGCAGGGCCCGTGGTGTCCTGCTCGTCGGTGACCACGCGGCATAGGATGTCCCAGTAGGCGCAGCTGTCGTTGAAGAACTCGAGGTACGTCCGGTCTGTGGTGCCCGCGCTGAGCATGCCCGGTTGGTTGTAGTAGGCCAGAATGGTTTTCATCTTCTGGAGAAGGGGGATCCCCAGTTGTTGGCTGTCGGTCCAGCAGGTGGTCGTGCCGATGCCGGCCAGGGCGAGGAGGAGGCCCGTGGGGAATTGGGGTGGAGAGGATTTGTGCTGCGTGAAGGAGGCTAGCTCCTGTTGGATGGACTGCATGGCGGCGGTCCACGAGGTGGTCGCTGTGGCGTGGAGGTGAGGCAGTTGCTCGGACAGATGTAGGGCTGACATGGTCTGCAGGCTGTGGAAGACGGCGGCGTTGTGGCTCCACGTGTGAGACGCCAGCTTGCGGATGAGGTTGCGGTCGGAGTCGAAGCTCGACCACATCGAACACACGTTCTTGAACCAGTATTCGATCAAGAAAGTGGTGGTTTCTGTCATGGAGGATGGGGTGGAGAGGATGGGGTGTAGTACGTCATCCTCGAGGGCGAGAACATCGCCTTGCAGGAGTGATTCGAATTCAGCCGGCTCATCCACTCCATCCTCTTCCAGGCCAACCACAGGAAGATCTGCCTGAGTACTTTCTGGGAAATCTTCCTGTACTTGCGCCACAACCTGAGCTTGAGCGTTCGCATTCCCCTCTTCCCCCTCTAACCCCATCAACCACCCAAAACTATCGCCATAGATCCTCCCATACAACTCCGCCAGCCCGTCCAAACTCCCCACCGTCGGTATTCCACCATTGTCCCCACCGATATCATTACCATTCCCATCTCCATTCCCCTCCGACGCCAGCAGCCCAGACACCGCATCAAACGCCTCCTCCAACTGCTTATTCTCCATCTCCACCGTCGAACCCGTCGACTCGGGACTTTCCCCTACCACGCCTGTCATCGAATCCCCCTCCTCGCTCACAGCCGTCCTCCTCCGAGCACGCCCCGAAGAAACCTCATGTTTCGTCGACCATTTGAACTCGCGCTGATATCCGGGACACGTGCGCCCTTGCTTCACGCACGCGTTGCACGCCGGTCTCGTTTCGTCGCACTGAATCTTTGCCTATGGATGAGCCTCCATCCTAACCTTGATGCCTTGGAGCTGAAACATTTGGGAACAGGTGGAAGCATACCCGTCTCGATTTGCAGGTCTTGCAGCCCGTTCGGAAGCGACGGCCTTGGCGATTGTCCTTGCTGGTTTTCGTTTTCGTGGTTAGGGCTGTGGTCATTATGGCTGGGGCTCATTCAACTCCATCTGACAAGATGGAAAATTGCTGGATGGATTCAGGATAATGTTGATCAGAAGGACGATGATGGTGTTGTTCAATGATTCATGGAGATGACCACTTCACCAACGCCGAGAGGATCAACCGAAATGCGGAGAAAGAGGCGTTGGCGTCGATCGTGATTTATACTCGGTACTCCAAGCCTTATCTTTCGCCTTCCACGTGAGGAGAGAGCGGGGAGGTCTGCATGAGAGATAAGAGACGTAGACGTAGGGCAACTGATAGGAAGTTTCCTGTGTGACAGATCAATGATAAGACGAGTCTGTTATAGCCATAATTATCACACACGAAGCACATTCGTTCTGAAATACTAATGCCCCACATAGTTACTTCTTAGTGCACACCCGGGGTGCCAGGAGGTTGCGAGGGTCAGCAGCCTTACCGCTGTCACTTCAAGGGTATGATTCACCACTTCCTGATCAGACGAATTAGAAATGGGGCATTGCAAGACATACTTATCGACATCAACAGTTCTTTTCTCCAAACTAGCAGAAAAGTAAAGCAATGCACCAATTCATTTTCTGACATTGGATCTCCATCGGTGCAATAGCTCGAAATGCGGAGACGGGGAGAGAATCCCCAAAAGGGCGGGGAAAGGAGGGGAAAACCCCCTCAACCTCGAAAGGAACAGCAGCCCTAATTGCAGGCAAAACAAGGAGAGACAAAGAGCCAAGTTCGAGCTGACTGGGAATACTGCGTACGCTACATGACCCGACTCCCTGACAACGACGATGGTAACTCTCGGCGTATAAACTCTCCAAGTCGATTGATCGTATCGCATTGTCCTAACTATGTGCAGTGTACCCTAATTTCCTAGCGGAACTAGTCGTTCCCCTTTCTACCCATCCGGACGGGGGCTCATAGATATCCAACCGCCGTCTCCGCAACCTGCAGCCCGGCATAGGCCTGATCGCAGAACGCCTTGACTGTGACCGCGACCGCGCGGGTCTCCGGGTCCTCGTCATTCACCACCACCGCGTAGGCGATCCGCGAAGCATAGGAGGTGAGGTTGGACACCTCCCCGATGATCGCCGCGGAGCGCATATCCCCCGCGCCATCCTGACTGAGCTCGTAGAAATGTAATCCGGAGGTGACGAGCTTGAAGGGGATCAGCATGACGCCGACGAGGGCGCCGACGCCGCGCGTGCTCTTGGCGCTCATCGAGCCCACCCCGATCTTGCCGACGGCCTTCTGGCCCAGCCCCGAGAAGTACAGCGAGCAGAGCAGGCCCAGCGCCGAGGTGACGTGGGAGATCGTCTTGATGGACCCGTCCTGCAGCGGGTCCTGGGGCACGAGCTGGTCCGCCACCGTCTGCGACACGCTGACCACCACCTTGAAGACGGAGGTCGCCTTGGAGAGGAAGCCGCCGCTGCCGGCCTCGGACATGGCGTCGATCTCATTCAGCGGGTTCCCAATCAGGGCCATCAGCCCGCTCGTCCCGTGGAAGCCCTGGAAGGTGGGCCGCTTGAGCGAGTGTTCGGATCGCTTGAAGTCCTCTGCGACGGTTTCCCAGTGGCTGGCGGACAGGATGGTCTGGACGGCCGGGTCGTGGGCTGGGAACGGCGCGTGTTGGTACGCCACCTTGTAGATGACGGTGAAGGAGACGGCGGCGATCCAGCATAGCAGGTCGAGCAGGGAGATGTCCGGGATCACCGGGATGTGGATCTTGGTGTCGACCAGGGCGATGGCGACCTCGGCCACATCGTACAGGAGATTCAGCACCGCGTCAACCACCACCTGCACGCTGGACAAGACCCCGTCGGCCAGGATGCCAACCACCCGGCGCAGGATGGCCTCCACGCTCAAGCTGCTGAAGTCGTGGGCCAGCTGCACGAGTTCCTTGTACACCCCCTCCAGCACGTGTCCTTCCCGGGCGATGGCCTGGATCAGGTCCGTGAGTAACTGCTCGACGGCGTCCATGGTCGGGTGGTCCCCGACCACGGTCATCTGGCTCGCGTTGTTCTGATAGTGATTGGCGAGGAATTTCGAGGCGGAGGTCTGATCCTTGTGAGGATTGGAGGCACTGGCCGCGACGGCCTTACTCGATGCATCCCCCAGACCCGACCAGTCGGTGATCCCACTCCACTGATTCAGACTCTGCTGGGCCTTCCCGATCTCCCGATCCAGGAAATCTCGGGCCGTGCGGATGTACTCGACCTCGTTCTGCAGGTAGAGCTTGATGGTGTTGTGCATGACATCCTTGCACCGGCGGATATCATCCCACTGGAACAGCATCTCCACGAACTGGATCAACTTCTGGATGCCGGTCTTGACCTTGTCAAACACCCATTGCACCGCCCCGACCACCGCGTGGGCCGTGTCCAAGACCGCATGGTAGACCTTGCTCCCGATCTGCGCCACCAGATGCAGCGTCCCGGTGACGGTGTCATGAATGATGCGTCCGACGCTCTTCACCTCGTGCTTGACCCACTGTAAGACGTCTCCTGCGGCTGTTGTGATGGCGTTTCCGACCGCGTCTGCGATGTCTCCGACGGTGTGGATCACATTCCCTACGGTGTTGGCGATGGCATCGCCCACCTTTTCTCGGCAGTGTGCACCACGCCATCCACGACCCCATCCACCGCCTTTCCAACATCGCCGGCGGCATGCACCACCCCACCGATGGGCCCTCCGATCTCATCCCCGATGTGGTCCAGGGCCCGACCGAGAGCACCCAGGAAGCTGAAGTTGCTGACGTGCACATTCCTGGAGTGGAAGGAGGCGGGGTGTAAGGCAGCCGGACGGGTCTGACAGAAGGAGGTTGGGTGGGCCGGCGCCTTAAGCGCTGTTGTCGTGCTCGGCACTTGGACCGCGGCGGGCGGGGTGTTTGCGGATGGACTGGTGGTGACAGGGTGCTTTGGATCCTTCAGGTTCTGGTATGCATCTTTGAAGACGCTCAGATGTTGCGCCACGGCTTCAACCGTGCTATCATCGACCGAGGAGTCGACCAGGGCAGTGGTGTCGGGAGACCCGACCACTCCCCCCGCAACGGTCTGACTGGGGAACGCAGCGGCACGCAGCTTCTCAGCGGAGTCAAGAGCGGCGAGCTTGTTGAAGGCATGGTCCATCGGGTTGATCGTGAGGGAGGTATTCGTCAATTTCGCCGTCAGCACGGACGCGTGGAGGCTGTCGGTGGCCTCGACCACGGTCATTCTGCTGGGGAGCCCCCGCGGCCAGCACAATGTCCTGGGCCCGCCACGTCTTGCCGGTCGACGAGGAGCCCTGCACCAGTTTCTGGATGCGTCCGTTGTAGCCGCTGTTGATGACATGACACGTTGATTAGGATTTCGAGCCTCTCTTTCGGCTTTTGAACTCAATACTTTCTTCAAAATGGTGATTCAATTGTGACTACATCAAAGGTCAAACGAGATAAACGAGATTTCCACAATCTATCTTGATCAAGATCACTATCGCAAGTCGAAAAGAGTGGTATCGGTAGTTCCGTTTCTTTTTCTTCTTCTATACAGGCACAGAAGAGTCTTTCTACACACCAATACACAGTTCCTCATGTAGGAGCAGAGCTATATGCTGATTGAGGGATCAGCAAAGCCTTGGGGACCACTTCCCCCAAGTGCCCAAAGTGGAAAGACAACAACGATTCATTAACCGACACGATTGAAAAACTATGCACAATCTATCAGAGAATCTATCATCCCCCCGTAAGTTTCTTACCGGAGAGAGAAAAATCTAAACCATCGACACCTCCTTCTGCACGACCCCGCCGCCCTCCTCGCGACTCATCGTGGTATACCGACTAAAATCCCGCTTCTCCTCCCGCTCCATCAACCCCCCACGACCACCACCACCCTTCCCATCCTGCCGCAATTTATATGCCACCCGCCGGAAATACACGCGCTTGGCCCACTTCCACGCCTCCGCACCCACAAAAAACAGCCCGGCCTCGACAAACACCACCCCCCACTCCCACGAGATCCCGATGTGCTTGAAGACCACGTCGTTGATGACGGGGATGTACAGGATCGGGAAGGTGGTCACGAACCCGATCATGATGCCCGTGAAGAGGAAGCGGTTGCGGCGGAGGGAGGCGAGCCAGCCCCTCAGTCGGGACACGAACGTTTTGGTATTGGATTGGGAATGGTTTTCGGATGCGGTGGCCGGCAGGCTGAAGAAACTCCGGCGGAGGTCGACCATCTCCCACGCCAGGAACAGGGCGAACCAGGTCATGCACACGAAGGTGGTGGCGCGCGCGCGGTAGACCGTGTCGCAGGCCGAGGTGTAGTCGCTGTTGCACCCCGTCGCGAGGTTGCCGTCGCCCCAGGCGAAGAGCACCAGCGAGAAGGCCGAGAGGGAGAGGGCTGCCATCCACACGCCGTAGACGAGGGTGTCGATGATCACTTCCCAGGTGAAGATGCCTTGTTTCTGGTGAGGGGGGTTAGTTTAGGACTATTCTGCTCAAAGGGAGGGGACGGGGTTAGGGCTAACATACATTTTGAGGCGGTCGATCCATGATATCCGGAGCCGCCACTTCCATCCCCAGTCCCATGTCCGGCAGGCCAGATGTGACCATGATGATCCAGAGGATCTCCACGGGCGCGATCGGGAAGACGGACTGGCCGTTCTCGTCCTTGAAGGCCAGCCCGATGAGCAGGGTCAGGGCGAGGCCGACGTTCTCGGCGAGAAGGTGGAGGACGAATTTCTGGATGTTGTCGAAGATGCGGCGGCCTTCTTCGATGCCGTTGATGATCGAGGCGAAGTTGTCGTCCGTCAGGACCAGTTCCGATGCGTCCTTGGCGACGTCGGAGCCGGACTGGCCCATGGCGATGCCCACGTCCGCCCGCTTGAGAGAAGGGGAGTCGTTGACCCCATCGCCGGTCATGGCGGCGTACCGGCCGCGTCGGTGCAGGGCGTCGATCATGCGCACCTTGGTGGTGGGCGCGCAGCGAGCAATGACCAGCGGTAGGGTCGGCAGCTCGTCGATCTGCTCGTCGCTCAGCCGGTCGAACTGGCTGGCCGTCATGACCATCGCGTCGGCCACGTCCTGCGCCACGCTGGCCATGTCGCGCGGGATAATCCCAACTTGCGCCGCGATGGCCCGCGCCGTGCCGGGGTGGTCGCCCGTCACCATGTGCACCGTGATCCCCGCGCGTCGACACTCCTCGATCGCCCCCGCCGTCTCCGGCCGCGGCGGATCATACAGCCCGATCAGCCCGCAGAAGGTGAGGTCTTTCTCCACCTCCTCGCGCGCGGGCGTCTCGTCGCGGGGCTCAATCGGCCGACAGGCCAGCGCGAGCACACGCAGACCTTCTTTCGCGAGATCCTCCATCTTCTGGAGGATCTCCTGCCTCTTCTCCTCGTCCAGCGGAGTGGCGTCTGCGCCTGCGGTCCAGACGGCCTGCGTACACGCCTCCAGCACCCGCTCCACGGCACCCTTGGTGAACACCATCTGGGCCGAGGTCTCAGTATTCTCGAAGATCACCGACATCTTCTTGACGGTCGAGTCGAAGGGATACTCGGCCTTCTGCGTCCAGACCGGGTTCCGGCCGCCCGTCCACCGCTCCCTGCCCCACTGGAAGCGCATGGCGAAGACCTGGATGGCGATATCCGTGGGCTCGCCGCGGGCCTGCCACTCGTGCGACTCGTCCGAGTAATGCACGTGGGCCAGGTTGGCCATGGCCGCGACATCGAGGTACTGCTGCAACAGGGTGCCTGACCCGTGGGCATTCAACAAGCCCTCCCTGCGCGCCTCCCAAGGCTGAGCGTCCCCTTCTGGGTTCGCTCCCTTCTCCTTCTCCCCTCCCGCCTCAACCTCAGGCCCAGAAACCAACCTTACTCCGTCCCCATTCCCCGGATCGAGGACATCACCCCCCTCACCCACAACCACCAATCCCCCGACACCCGCCACCCAAGCCCTCTTCACGACCATCTTCCCCTGCGTCAACGTCCCCGTCTTATCCGAACAGACATCCTGCACCGCCCCCAACATCTCCAGACTCTCCAACCGCCGCACCACCACATTCCGACTGACCATCGACCGCGTCCCCGCCGCCATCGTGATCGTCAACACCACCACCAGACACGCCGGAATCATCGCCAGCCCCGTGGCAACCGCATAGATAATGACCTCGCGATCGTTCCGCATGCCATTCGCCCCCATGACGACCAGCGCAAACACCACCGCGATCCCAAAGAGCACCAGCGCCAGCGCCGACAGCTTCCGCTGCAGGGGCGTCCCGGTGTTCAGCCCGAGAAAATTGAGGACGTAGGCGCTGGTCGAGAGGCAGAAATTGGCGAGGGGGTTGAGGACCTTCTCGCGCTTCTTGGGGGAGTCGTCCTCCGGGTTGGTGCGCGGGGTGCGGCGCTTGTAGCGGGCGGAGTGGTTGGAGGCGTGCAGGGCGGCGGCGATGAGGCCGATCTCGGTGGCCATGCCGGTGCTGGTGATGATGCCGCGGCCGCGGCCGCGCGTGATGGTCGTCGAGCTGTAGGCGATGTTGAGGCGGTCGCCGGGCCCGGTGTCCGCCGCATAGGTGTCGTGCGGGGTTTTGGCGATGGGGAGGGATTCGCCCGTCAGCAGGGCTTCGTCGGTTTCGAGGTTCATGGTTTCGATGAGACTGTTGTGCTGTTAGTTTTTCTCTATGCCGAAAGAGTTTTTTCTGGGCAAGGGACGCACCGAACGTCGGCCGGTACGGTATCGCCGACCTTCAACTCCACGACATCGCCCACGACCAGCTCCTTGGCCGGCACCGTCTTGGTCTTGCCGTCGCGGGTGACGGTGCCCGTCGGCGAGCTCAGCGACCGCAGCGACCCCATCGTCTTCTCCGCCGCGAAGTCCTGGTACACGCCCACGACGATGTTCAGCCCGATCACGGCCGCGATCACCCCGCCTTCGATCCAGGATTGGATCCCGAAGCTGACGGCCATGGCGATGATGAGGACCTTGATGGGGGTTAGCTTGCTGTCCTTGTAGGAAAGGTGTAGATAATAGGGGGTTTCACGCACCAGCATCATCGCATTCGCCACCTGCCGAAGCACAATCGTCAACAACGAGACCCCCTCGTCATCCTCCAGCTCATTCAGCCCATCCTGCTGCAACCGCGCGGCCGCCTCCGCACTGGAGAGCCCCTGGTCCGGGTTCACGTGCAGTTCCTGGAGGATGGTCTCCCAGGGTAACGAGTGCGCCGGTTGCGACAGACGCGTGCCAGGGGTGTTGCTGTTGCTGTTGCTATTGCTGTTGTTGTTAGATTTGGATTTCATCTTCCAATCGAGAACCGAGTCAGGTGGTTCGGTTCATAGGTCGAAGATTGATAATCAAAAGATAAGAGAAAGCAGGGGATCTAATCTATCTAGAAGATGTCATAGATGATGGCAGTGCTCTCTAAACCACGTAAGTCATCAATAGTCTAGATGTCGTTGCTGTATAAAAAGATCTAGCTAGATCTGGCATCCGACAGATTTGGAATATGTCCTGGAACCGAGGAACGATGGGAACACAGCCTTATATAACTCTATCATCTCCGATTACCTCCATCCACCACTTCTCGGCATACCTCGCTTCGGCGATAAGCCCCATTACTGAGACAGTGGGTGAATTGGGGGCGATTGGGAGGCAATTGGGGAAACTGTCATGCCCAGCTCCCGCCAAGAACCCCTACAGTCCAGTGAGAGGATTCGCCGCAGCAACCATGACGCAGACAATTGTGCTTGCATCCATGGTTCCAAGTCTGGGGAAGAAATGGGAAGAAGTGACTGCATGGGTTGGATCTGGGGATGTGATTAGCTGAGCCAGGGTGTGTACCCGCCGGTTCAACTTGCCAAGCCGGTTCCGCAGCGCGGAGAAAGAGCAGAAAAGCCCAGCCCAGCCCAGCCCAGCCCTTGGCGGGAAGATGCATCGCATCGTAATTTACAAGTAAGTACAGTTTTGCCTCTAGTCTGTCCTCGTGTTGGGTTTCCGTTTCCCCCCCCCCCCCCCCCTTTGGTCGCTTCCTGCGTGATGCCGTCCGGCGGAAAGAGGGAGAGGTCGAGTTGAGACAACCAAAGCAATACTGTAACTCAGTTAACAAATAGGGGGCACACACTTTAAAGTGTTCCCACCCCCGGTCGGCTGGTCCGAACTTTTGTGTGATTTTGATTTATTTTGTGGTCTTGCTTTTCTGCTCTCTGCCATCGACTACATACTATACTGCATTAGCCCTTTCGAAAAACTTATCTTATGCTTGCTACCTGCCACGGCTGGATGCCCTGCGTGTCTGTCTGACTATTCTTACATCCAACTTTTATGTAGGAATACGTTCTATACATCATACCTCTCACGCAGCGCAGCTTCACGTGGTCCCCATCGATTCCCTGATCATATTGTGATTCGCATATCACACACACACACACACACACACACACACACACACACACACACACACACACATCCAACTAAACTAACAACATTGCCGATGACGGAGCACGACCCTCCCCCCCCAAGTGGCGAAATCGTCGGCGTGATCATCGGAGCCGTGGCTTTGTTCATCGTCATTAGCTTTCTGCCCATGTAAGTTTCTCTCTCTGTTGTCTTGCTTTTCCCCGCCGCCGCTGTTTGTGTCGGTTGGGTGGGTGGAGGAGCGCTCATTCGTGAGAGATTCGTCATTCTGGTCTCCGTCCACCCACATCCCCCCCTCTCCCTCCCTCCAGCCCTACCTACCCCCCAAAAGAGCCCCTCAAGGAAGGCCGCCAAGATCTTATCTCGTTTTCCGGCGTATCACATATCCTGGCGCCAAGATCTTGGTTTTCTTTTGAGTTGGGATGAGGGATGAGGTGAGGGGAGGGGAGGGGAGGGGAGGGGAGG